TCTCTCCCTCTTTTACACACACACACACACTCAAGTACTACCTAGTATAGTTTCTTCCAAGCTCCAATTTTGTACAAGGTTATTGGAGTCTGCATCACCCTTTAAAGGTACTCTTAATATAAAAATAATGAATTACTTGATGATCTTTCCATACACACATAGCGTTTTATTCACCTCCTCTTTTGCTGTCCCCATCTTGTCTAAATTTTCCCTTTCTGCTTTCATGTTGACTCCGGCTTCTGTGTAGAAGTTTTATGATATTTCTTCCTTTATCTCTGGTATATGGGTGTTAAGCTAATTTGTATACATTTAATCCCCACAATTTTTAGTCTATTACTCTGGAACTTGTAACTTTGATTTTGATAATATGGCAATTTTTCTCCTTTCTGTTTCTCCATGTGGTTTGGTGGTAGATTTCCTGGTAAGTGTTTCTCACATTCTTCAGGATTATGTGATTGAGATACTGAACCCAGGGGCCTGCATTCCCCTCCACAGTCTCTGAGTCATTGGAATTTCTGTTTGTAACTATTTTATTGATAATGCTGATACTTCTTGTCCAGTGAACAAATTTTGGTCTAGACTGCACTAGACTGGTTCTCTAAGAGTTCTATTTTTAATATCTAACTTTTATAATTTTCTATTTCCTTTGATTGCCCTTTCTTCCACCAGATATCTGCTGAATCATCTTTTCTGGCTGGCGTGCATTTCAGCTTATCAGTGAATGCTCCTCCAATGGTTCTGTCTAGAACCCACAGGCCCACACTTTCTCCTTTTCTTTCTCAGGGGTGCCTCATGTCAGTCATTGCCGCCATTCCTACTGGAATGTAAACTTTGTAAGAGTGTTTTTGTTTTTTGCTTCATTTCGTTCTCTAGTATAGCCCCAACTTCTATAATATTACTTGAAAAATACTAAAACACGGAATAGTATATTTTACATTTAGCACAGTGTCATGTATTCACAAAATAACCTTGAGCTTCCTGTGTAGGAGGGGATGCTTAGATGATTTTGAGTTTCGTGTGTGAGAAAGGATCTCACTGCATTGCCCTGGCTTGGTATGTAGACTAGGCTGTCCTTGAACTCACAGAGCCCCGTCTGCCTTAGTGCTGCCGTTAGAGGAGTACACTCTCATGCCTCTCTACTGGACTTTTTATTTTCCTGCCTTAATACCTCTTGAGCACTGGTATTATAGGCTTAGTGTATTATATGTGATTCTGGGGCTTATGTGTGCTACCTAAGTTCTGTACACACTCAGCTTGAATGATCATTCTTGGTGAATTTCTTCAACTTTATCCTACTATTGTTACTTCTCAAATTGCCTAAATCATATTTTTAATATCTATGTACTATTTTGGTTTCTAAGTGACTTTTTTGGAATTGCGTTTTTGAAAATAATTTCATTCACTTTACATCCTTGTTGTAGCCCTATCCCTTATCCCCTCCTAATCCTACCCTGCCTCTCTCCCCTCTTCTTTTTTTCCTTTTCCTCAGAGAAGGCAGCTCCTTTTCCCATCCATCCCAGCTCATCAAATTGAGGACTCGATATCAGGACTAAGCATGTTCGCTTCTCCTGTGGCCTGGCAAGACAGTCCTGCCAGAGGAAAGTGATCTAAAGCTGGCAAGTGAGTCTGTGTCCTATGCAGTCCTTGCTTCTTTTTCTAGAGGACCCACATGAGGCCTAAGATTTCCATCTGCTACATCTTTGTAGGGGTCCTAGGTCCCGTTTAGATATGGTCCTTGTTTGATGCTTCAGTCTCAGCAAGCTCCTCTGGGGCCCTGGTTTGTTGGCTCTGTTAGTCTTCTTATGGAGCTTCTGGTACCTCCAGGTCCTTTTCTCTTTCCTCCCACTTTTCCATAAGACTCCCTCCATATCACCCAGTGTTTGGCTGTGAGTCTTGGCATCTGTTTTGATGCACTCCTGGGTAGCCCTTCTCAAAGGGGTACTCAAGCAGAAACTCCCAGTAGCAGAGACCATAGAGATTGAAGAGGACACCCACTAACTAGACTAGTCTCCCAGCAGGGGAAGGGAGTACCAACCCACCCACAGAAACTTTGATCCAAAATTTATGCTGCCTACAAGATGTACAAGGATAAAGATAGTGCAGAAAGAGCAAAAATTGAAGGAAATGCCCAACCAATGCCTGGCCCAACCCCAAATCCACCGTATGGGAGAATGCCAACCCCTGATACTATGAACAATACTCTGTTAAACTTGCAGACAGGGGCCTGACAGAGTTGTCCTCTTAAGTGATTTTTTTCTAATATATATATTTTTAGGGATTAAATATATTGACCTTAAGGTTTGTTTTAGTTACTTTTCTATTCTTGTGAAGAAACCAAGGCAACATATAT